CTATCATCTAATTATTAATCAATATTCAGGTTCCTAATTTTGGTATAAATGTCATAAATTATATTTTATACTTTGTTTAAATCCAAATCCAAATAAGGTCCATACATAAAGTTTAATTGATGTTTCTTTTGAAAATATCTTTTAACTGTTTATGTGATCTTGGATGGACAGCTTTCCTCTACTTTCATTTGGTCAAATCAGAACATTTTTTTCTTAAAAACTAGGGATATTTTCATCGAAGGCAAAACTATTCACAGATCATCTTGTACGGAAGTCTCTTGGCTTAGAAAAGGATTTTGATACAGTTCATTTCAGATATAACTTAAGTTCACCTAAGTCCAAACCTACCTCTACTCCAGCTGCAGCCAAGAGCCACCGGATGGCCTCCATTCTGCCCCGTCCATCATAGTAGTGCAGCTTGGGCTTCGCCGCCATGATAGTAGTCTCTTGCTTTCTGTAAACACGAATGAATACTTCAATTAATTGGTCCACAGAAGCAAAATGTACTTTTGGATATAAGGTTGGTGGTATGTGCCTTCCTTGTGGCAGGTTAGAGGAGTCCCCAGAAGGTCTTCCTTGGCCCAGTTTCTTACCTCCATTGTAAAAATGCACCAAACCAGTCTCACGCTGCCATTTGTCCTTAATTTGAGAACCTAAAGAGGGCAGCCTGGATCCCACACAGGGGGAGGCCCTGGGTGCCTGGGAGGGACCTTTGCACCAGAGGACATCCCTGACAGGGAGGAGCAGGAGGGAGCAGAGTCACTCTTGAGCTGTTCGGCTGCTACGCCGCACTCGTTCACAAGCAGAACTGGGGCTTAGTCTCGTCCTGACTGTAGCCAACATCTAAATTGTCTTTCACAGAACAAGCTGCTCATTTCCTTTTCCTATTGGATTTGCATATTTTCCCATTTCTGGGTGGATTTTATTTTATAACCTCGAAAAAGGGTAGTCGCTGCATTAGCTTTCTATTATAAGGAAAGGAACCAACATTGGTTTAGTGTCTACCAAATAATATACAATTTCTCATTTTTATTCACATTTATTTGTCAGTGAAGTTACTTGATGTATATCCTGTTACTATTCTAAGTTTACAGTTGAGATTGTTCATATCTGTAGAGGTTATGTGATATGCTAAACCTAGCGTGGTTTTTATTAGACAATAATTTTTTTTTAGTTTTAAGAGATTTATTCTGAACCAAATGTGTAAATGTGTATGACCAGTCTGAAGCAAATGACCCCAAGGGAAAATGTGCTGTGACAATAAATTCTTGGAGCTTCTCTACACAAGCATTTTGCAAACAGTAGGTCATGACCTAGTAGCGGGTTATACAATTAACACAGTGGGTTCTGACTAGCATTTTAATGTTGCATGTCATAGAAAATATCAGCATGTATATCATGTGCCAAGGGTAAATTTTTCTGCATGTGTGAAACATTAATTCATGTTGTGTGCGAGTGAGTGCACATATATGACCGTGTGCTTTGGGTGGTTGTACGATGTAACAAATACATGCGACTGGGACTAGCTAAAAAAGCTTGACAGTTGTTGCTCTATTCTGCACTATTGACATTTTGGGGTGGGTATTTCTTGCTGTGAGGGTCTGTCCTGTCCCCTGGAGGATATTACAAAGCAGCATCCCTGGTGGGGTCATGTGCTTCCACCCACTGGCAGCATAGTGTTGTGCCACCCCACCCATGTGACAACCAGACACATCTCCACACTTTATCAGATGACCCTGGGGCAAAATCACCCCTGGCTGGGCTGAGAACCACTGCTGTATTCCAAGGTAGCACATAAAAGGGAACCAAAGGGATCACCTCACA